CAGTAACCCTTTTAAAACCCAAATATTCACAATAACCCGGTTCCACAGGTCCATGTAAACACCGCCAAAAACCCGGATATGCTCATAACCGGGTTTTTAAAAAACCTGGTTACTACGCCTGGGGTAACCCTTTTCTAACCCGAATGTTTGGTCGTGTAAATGCATATTGGGATATCCCCATCAAAGCGTGTGTTCTGCGCATGCATTGTTCGCAAGGAATCTTGGTCTTTTGAGTAGCGAGACGTCTTGTATGCGCCAGAACTCCGGAAGTAAACAACAAGTTGGGAGCAACATGGCGAGTCGCGGCACAGCACCACACTTTTGGAGTGACGAGGAAACTAAAGCGTAAACAAACGCGGTCGCTATCTCTTCCAAACTGGGAAACATGTTGTTGTTTTCACAGATACCGGAACAAGAAGAACCGGAAAAGACGCATACGTCCATACGTCCTGACGCTACCCCAACGTCCGCATTTAAATCGGGTTATGCAAGTTAGGGGTAACTCTTTCTCTTTATGCTTGTAAACGGGTTACTCTGATCAACTCAGAAACCCGAATCCCGACCTTAACCCGATCATAACCCGGATATTGGCTGCATGTAAACGTAGTCATTGCTAAACACGGCCTACATTATCACATATATGCCGATGACAGTCAAATTTATATGGCTTTAAATCAACTAAGTTCCATTACTCAGCTCTCAGAATGTCTCTCAGAAATTAAAACCTGGCTAGCTTCCAATTTCCTGAAGTTCAATGACAATATGACTGAGGCCATTCTTTTCAAACCAAAACATAATCTGCATACTTCTGCTGCCTTTGATCTCTCCCCCCGTAAACCTTAATTCATGTGTGACCAGCCTTGGGGTTAAACTGGATGCCGACTTGTCAATGAGTGCACATGTAAATGCCACCTTTTGATCCTGCTTATTCCAGCTTCGTCGCCTTGCCCGACTAAAGCCCATTCTTAACAGGCCACACTTTAGAGTCAGTGATTCATGCATTTATCAATTCCAGACTCGATTTTTCCATCTCGGTTCTAATTGGTGTAAATGTATCTGTCCTAAATCGTCTGCAGAAAGTCCAGAATGCTGCAGCAAGATTTCTTTCTAATGCTAATAAACGCTGCCACATCACTCCCATTCTGGCTGATCTACACTGGATTCCTGTGCACTTTGAATTCAGCACAAAGTTTTAACTTTTACTTACAAAGCCCTGAATGGCCTAGCCCCCTCATACTCTCGCTACCCCCCCCCCCCCCCCCCCCCTAAAGTCCCTAAAATGAAGCATGAAGCTCATGGGGAGCGTGCGTTCGCCTTTGCAGCTCCCAGACTCTGGAACGCACTCCCTCTGGTGGTACGCCAGGCTCCTTCACTGGCACAGTTTAAATCCAGCCTGAAGACACATTTTTTTAATTTGGCTTTTGGTCAATGATCGGTCTTTTATGCTGTGACTCTCTTCTGTTTTACTGACTTCTGTTTTTATTGACCTCTATTTTATGGGCTGTTTTATACTTTTGTATTGTTTTTAGGTGTTTCTATTTTATGACAGCTTTTACCTGTGTTTAATGTGTATTTTGAATGGCTTTTTAGGTTTAACTCTGTGCAGTGCTTTGGTCAGCTGACATGCTGTTTTTAAATGCGCTATATAAATAAAATTGGATTGGATTGGATCAAGTCAACACACGTGGCTTCGCCGCCGCCTGCTTTGGGTCCTCTGCTGCTTTTTTATTCTTTATTAGTCTTGAGCGCGGCGACGGCGAGCGAGTTTTGCCGGGTTCCTGCTGAGCGCGTAATGAATGGCAGGCTGCGGCTGCGGGGCTGCCAGGCAAGAGGAAACAGCACTGTGGAATTGTGGGATAGCGGTGAGAGGCTTGCTTTGTTGGTCTCGGCGGGAGCTCGCCAAGATCAAACGTGTCGATGGTGCCGGCGCTCGCCGGGCTTTCTGGGTAGTCAGACCTGGGGAGGAGACGCCTGAAAATCCAGACGTGTGTGTGTGTGTGTGTGCGTGCGTGCGTGCGTGTGTGTGTGTGTGTGTGAGAGAGAGAGAGAGCTTTTGGCGGTGTTTTCCTGGAGTGAATGACGGCAGCGTGGCAGATGCTGTCATGCTTTTTGTTGTTTTTTTGTTTTGTTTTTGCTTTTGTGCCTTTAGAGGACAGACTTTGAAGCGGATTAACGAGAAGTGACTTGATGTGACTTCCAGGTTTGCTTTGACACGACTTTCCAGCGTTTGATGTGGCATCAGCCCATGAGAGGCACACAGACACGCTCGCAGCAGCCTCATCCATGTCCCTGCATCTGTCCTTGTGTCACTGATACTGTGGAGACACTCCAGCCTGCAGCGCTGCTGAATATTTCTGTCCATCCTGGCGTTTATGACCCTTCCCCCTCCTCTGGTGTCATGCTTTCCTCTTTTCATGATGCCTCTGTCACTTCTCCTTTTTCCTGTTGTGCCTTTAAACCCTTTTGTCTCTCCTCCTCCACTGCGGACTGCCCTCATCAGGCAGGTTCTGGTAATACGCCTGTGTGTGTGTGTGTGTGTGTGTGTGTGTGTGTGTGTGTGTGTGTGTGTGCGTGTGCGTGTGTGCGTGTGTGTGTGTACGTGGGGGACAGGCCTGTGAGAAGAAGAGAAAGTATCAGAGTGAGGAAGATAAGGAAGAGAGCAAGAAGAGGGAGAGTTGGGATAACGGTGTGTGATAGAATTGGAAGATCAAAGCCCTCTGTCACAGCGTGACTGAGCCCAGGGGCGTAACGGGCGAGACGGGACACATACACACTCCTACGGACACACACACACCTAGAGAAACACTCACTCACGGTTGGTGTTTGACTCCGAGTGTGATTGATGCCGGGCTAGATCTGGAGAATCGCCGTCATTCGTCTCTCCACAGATCAAACAGCCACATAATCTCCCACAACGGAAAGAGAGATGGAGGGAATAAAACAGGACAGAGGAGGAGATTTTGGAGGAGGTGGAGAAAAGTGACATCGCTGAAGTGTTTCCTTAAGAAAACAACACCTGAAACAAAAAAAAAAAAGAACTTCAGAGAGATAACTGAACGCTGAGATGTTCGGTTCTATGCTGATGATCTGTCTTTACGCCTGTCTGGAGAAAAAGGACCTTCACACAAATCAGACGCTGCTCGTGGGACCAGTCGGGGATCTGTGTTGTGTTTCTGGGGTCTTACAGCTCTACATGATCTAGATGTTTCCCCGGTTCTTATTAACACTGATTCAGAACTGTTGGGTCTGAGGACCAGGCCTGGTGGATTCCCGGTGATCCGGGACAAAGGCGAGTTTCAGTTCTGATTTTGGGCGGTTTTCTTTGGGGGCACAATTCCTGCTTGAACTGCCACCTTACCACGGCGAAGGAGTTCTGTGGACTAGGACCGAAGAGCCACTGCTCCTCGTGGTCGAGAGGGGCCGGCTGAGGTGGTTCAGCCCTTGGGTGAAAACTCCTGAGGACACCTGGTGGCAGGAAGGCCCAGGTCGAACGGGAGACACCGAAGGGATTATCCTTCCAGGGAGGCTTGGGAACGCCTTGGCATCCTGCCCATGGAGGATGCTACTTCCTGCCAAATCTATATATTTTACTATTTTCTAGAAACAGAAAGACTTTAATTATTGATGTTTAAAACAAACAATGCTGCTGTGGAGTTTGGAACAAATAACAAAGAAAAGCATCGTCCAAAACCAGAATGCAGCCAATCAGAGCTGGTGGACACCAGGGGCGGACTTAGGACTGAAGAAGATCCGGGGCTTAACACGCGCATGCACACACACACACACACGTGACACGCACTAGTCAGCATCATTTATATTTGTCTTGTACCACATAATTTTTAATCTGAAGCTACATATGAAGCATTTTCAGGGCAGAGTATTGTTCCTGTTAGTGTTTAGTGTGAGATGATAGTAAACATTCCCTTTCTTTCTCCAACAACTTTACCTGATAGTAAGCTAACTTTAGGCAAACCAGCAGCACAACAAATATTTTCAAATAAGACTCACAAACCTGAGTCAACACCAGTCTCATCAAAGCTGGGGTTCTGTCGTTGTACTTTTGGTCTAAAAAACGTCCTTATGTCCATCTTCACTCATGCGTTTCAGGCAGAGAGTGTAGAAGAAGCCGGCTGCTGAAGGGCTTCTTCTTCAGTGGTGGAGGCTCAGGCAGGCTGTGTACAAACTACTGCCAGCTGCTCCCTCTCTGTTGGACTTTGGTACTGCATGTTACTTCCAGTTTTGGATCTGGGGCTTTTCATAAAACATTCGGGGCTTGAGCCCAAGTAGCCGGGCCTAACGCCGCCCCTGGTGGACGCCAGGTTTGAGGTATTTCAGTAAAACTACACCAACTCGTCGTTCTGGGTAAAAAAAAGGCTGATTGGAGCTTCTGTGATTATTTGAATTTGGGATTTATTTTTCTAAGGCCAAGTTTTGGACACAAGGATTGGGTTGATTCATTAAATTGGAATATGAGACATTAATTATCCCGCTGTGGAAGTCGTTCAGTCATTTATGAGCAAATGATGCTCTTTAAACAAAAGTCTCAGATTAAACCGAAGGAGATTCTGCTGCTAACATGAAATCAGAACAAAGTCCTGAACAGGATGGGTTTTGGATTTATATCAGGTGTGTTTATGAGAGCTTTTACTTTGTTTCTTCTGATTCTTTCGTATTTTTGTCCTTGATCCTCGTCTGACTCCTCACCGCGCCCTTGTTCCTCTTCTTACCTCCTGAGAACTTCTTTTATGTTGCCTGCTAGCGACTCGCTTTTGATTCTTGCACCTTGACCCCTGGACTCGAGTGTTTTTCTGCAGCTTAGGATCCAAACAGAGCACCAAAGCAGTTGCTGGCGCTGACATTTGCCGCTGAGTGATATTCAGATTTAATTTGCACACCAGGGAGCTGAAGCATTCTGCAGCTCTCTCTGTGTTTATGCACGTGTCAAGGTAATATTTAATGGTTTGTTTTCGTCTGTCTCTCTCTCTCTTTTGTCTCCACAGATGCATCACCCTATTCAGATGAAACCTGCAGACAGTGAGAAATCTAATGGTGAGTGGCCGTGAACACGAGCACAAGGACACCGGTATCACAGGCATCAATGGGCCTTTTTGAATTTACTCGGTAGTCTCAGCTGAGATTTAGCTCACGGCTCGACTGGCGGCTGGGACGAGGAACCGACGAAGGATCGGAGCAGAAAACAGAAAAAGACAGATAGATGCTGGATTTATTTGTGTGTGTGTGTGTGTGTGTGTGTGTGTGTGTGTGTGTGTGTGTGTGTGTGTGTGTGTGTGTGTGTGTGTGTGCAATAAATTATTAAGGCACTTTGGAAGGAGGTCAGCCAAAGTTCAATAATTTTAGCCTTGTGTTGAACCATCGTCACACACACACACACACACTTATTTAAAGCATCCATTTCAACACAAGCATCAAGTCCAGCTCCAGGTGTGAATTGATTTTCTTTCCTCCATTAATCTTTATTCTAACAGGAAGTCAGCTGACTTAAAACAGGAAGCATGTCACATTTTAGTGGATTATAACAGCAATTCGGCAATCCCCTTACCTCTGAGTCACATGTATGAGTTACAACATGAAAGAATTTGCCTCAGCATCTCTTTCCATCATAAATGCTTTCATGTGCTTTGGTTCCACATCTCTCATTAGGCTAATTAGTGCTTCCTAAAGCTCAAGTTCACTGAGAAAGCCTTTTTCACTTATTATTATGTTGTATTATAACGTTCATGGGCTCACCCATCTGGACTCACGACGGGGAAGGCTGTTGTTGGCCTTGCATCCAGGAAACAGCAGAGAACGTCTCTGCTAGTAGAAGCTAACTGTTAGCATTAGCAACTCCACCACATGGCAGAGCTCCTCCAGGCTTGTGTTATTTGTGGAGATGAAACATCAACGTTGCGTAACAGAGTTGGTGGTAGTCGTGTTGCTGTTAGCCAATCAGAGGGGAGATGTTTGACTATCAGGAAATACCGAGTTTGACTCCAGATCCAGCCATCTTCTGCTCCGGCTCACTAACAGGAGCACCAGAGCTCTTTTCCGCAGGGATCAACTCAACAGCTAACGTGCTAACGCCCTGCTTCCACGGTTAGTTCAGCTAACGATCACGTAGAAGAAGCTGATGGAGATGTTTTATAGGCAGGTAGCATGAGTCTCAACAAACAAACAGGGAACAACCTCAGAAAGAGCTCAGACACGTTATTTCAGTGCATCCGTTCTCCTCTTCAGTAAAGACAGTTTGTGGTTTTTGTATCTGAGACCATTAGCAGGCCTGAGGTGAAGCAGGTAGAAACCTGCTGCCAGGTGAGTTCCACTCTCATGTGAATGACCGACTCCTATTCCTGCTTTTGTTGGAGCTTTGTGGCAAAATAGGTGAGAAATAAAGTTTAAATGAGACATTAATAACTAAAAATATGGGAATAAAGGCCGGTGATGGTTGTTTATAACCTCGATATAAAAACAAGTGTGATGTTCTTCCGTTACAATGTTCATTATGTCCTCTTTTTAAATGTTAAACGAGGTTATTTTTGCTTCGGACATGAAGGTGTTTCTAATTACCTTTTTACATGTTTCGACCGTCGTCTGCGGGCTTCTTCAGAAGTGTCACAGGTGTTTGTGTGATGCGTCTTTATCAGCTGTTCTTCTGGTGGGCGTGGCCAATTCGGATCTGTCAGATCCGCCGGGTCGGTCACGTCCATCTCCGCTGGCTGGTCTTTGGAGAAGGGAATCCCAGGTGCGAGACAGCTGATAGGCCTCCTCGTCTCTGTTCATGTTCCAATGTTCCTGTTTCCTTATCTCTATTGCCTCCCTGACCCAACGTTTGAACCGGTTGTTCTCAGTGTTGATCATTTTTCCTTGATCAAGGGAAAATTATCAACACGGAAAACAACCGGTGACCGACTCGGCAGATCTGACAGATCCGGGTTGGTCGCGCCCACCAGAAGAACAGCTGATAAAGACGCGTCACACAAACACCTCTGACATTTCTGATAAAGACCGCAGACGACGGTCGAAACATGTAAAGGTAACTCGAAACACCTTCATGTCCGAAGCTAAAAGAGCCTCGTTTAACTCATTCACTGCCAGCCGTTTCCTGATCAGTGAAGCCCTTCGCTGCCAGCGTTTTTTAGCGTTTACTCCTTTTTAAGAGTCACAGAACATTGCGTGCTAGGATGATGTAGACGCCAAAACAACCAAAACAAAGCAGAGCCTCACCTCTTACATCAGAAAGAATCCGCGTTATCCGTTCTTTCATAATCCGTTGTTGAATTGTGATCGGCAGAAGCTTTTCCGGTTCACGCCTCACTTTTTTTTACGGCAGCGGCCCAAAAAGATCTCCTAACACATGGATGTTCTGCTTCCTGATCACGTGACGTGTGACGTACGCAGATGAAGATCAGCTTTAGAGCTGAGATGTTTGTTCTCACGGTGCGGGGGCTCGTCCGACACCCACACAGTAAAAAAAATGCAAATGACGACTTTAGTCGTCAGTGGCAGTGAATGAGTTAATATAAAAAGTGTTATGTTCTGTTTAAAGATTGTAATATTCTGGATTTTTTCTCAGTTCTAAGAAAACTCAAATCAACTAGTGAAGCTGCTTTAAAAGATTTCAGATAGAACAGATAAATGTTGCTTTTATGTTGGTCTGACGGTTGTGTGATGGAAGAAGGGAGGCTCTGGAGTCAAGGAAACGTTCATAGATCTAAACACACCCTGTTGTGGTTCTTATTTTAACCGTGAAAAGGACTAAAGATAAAGACGGTCTATGGCTGCAAAAGAGGATTTGAGCTGAAAGCTTTTTCTACGATGAGAGACGCCACTCTCAGGTCTTCAGAGTCTGGTCAGCTTCTGGACATTAGCTTTTTTTCTCATTTTGCCCCCATTTGGAATAAACTAATAAGAAGGTACACATTTGCTTCTTAAAGGTTTAAGTAAATCATCTCATTTTAAACAAAATGTTCAGATTTTACAGAATTGTACACTGTAAATAAAGGCAGCCTCAAAAAGTTGTTTTGTTTTGTTTTCCTATTTAACCTACATCTCCCTGTTAAGTTTTAATTGTTAAACTCAATTTTGTGTGTTTTGATATTGAAAGCTTAAAATTGCATCTTGTTTCAACAAATGATTATATTTTCCTCATTCTCGTGTGTTCAGTCAACTTAACACTGCAATTTATAGATTAAAAAATGACCCCGCCCACTGTGAAAGCTGCAGTGGGTGAGGTGCATTGTGGGTAGCCATGTTCTTAGTTAGTTTGTTCTAATTTGAGGTGTTTATGCACATTTATTGTGGGCGGTTGTGTTGTTCTTAGTTTTTGCTTTGTTGAGTGCTCCAAAGGTGGAGTTATTTGTGTTGTCATGTTGGCACCAAAAGTGAGGAGGGCGGTCGTAGGAATAAGAACGTTGTGCCGTTTCACTCCACTGCACTAAATAAAATTCTCATTCTCGCTAAATGCTCAAGACTCAGCTCCCTGTGACGAGCCCACTCCCGTCATTCACTTTGTAGTGCGAGCTATTGTTTGCGACTGACACATCAGTACATTTAACAAAAACTTTTGATTTGAATGGACAACCATTCATGTCTAACTCAAATTTATTAAGTTAACATCATGTAGAATTGTGTGTATGTTTAACAAGACAAAATGATTTTTACACTTTGTAATCTAATAAGATTTGTTGTTTTGACTCACAAACTAATATTCAAACAAATCATAGTTATCATTTATGATATTTGTACAACTTGACATATAGAGTTGAAAGAAAGTGTTCATTTAAGTTGACATGACTCAAGTTTTTAAGGCAGCTGTTGAACTTTCGTTTTTAAGTTATTGTGGCCTACAATTTATAACAGTGTAAATATTTCTTTAAATAGTCTGGGAAATACAACGCTTGCATCATCCTTGTGATTTCAGTAGAAATGACACTTTTCATGTGGACAAATTTAATAAAATAAAACCGAATATTTAAAGGTTTAATCTGCTGTGACGGAGTCGCTCTGAATTTATTCTCCTGCTTTGATCAAAACTTCTTTTCCAACCTTCTTATTCATGAAAGGCTTAAAGTTAGTATTTAGCTGTGACTTATTATCATTTTACTTCCTAATAAACTTCTTAAACGGATAATTGATCTCTTCCATCGCCTTACCGGCTCCGTGTGGCTCATTTATTCACTCAAACACAAGCTGCTGAAATCGTTAATAAACCATGAGCAGATGTACGGTTATTCCGGATGGACGACCACGAGTCCTCACGTTGAACTTTGTTTAACTTATCCAGCAAAAATAAAGATATCGCTATCAGATTAGACGGTTTTGGCAAATGGAAGCTAATTTATTTGCATGGTTAAGTGGAATAAATGTGAGTAATTTTGATGATTTGACCCTTAAACTGAGTTATTGAGCAGAATGGGATAATGGAGGCTGTAAAACTAAACAAGAGTCCTGCGGTGGGACTCGATGAGTGCGTTTAACTTCTGACTGCACACCGGGTCAGAACCGAGTCTGTCAGGATGAAGATGTCTTCATTGCTGCTCTGGTGTCTTTTAGTGAGTGAAAACTCAGTATGAAACTGCTTTTTTTTTTACCAGAATGCAAAGTTTACTGGAGACTATCCTGGTGTTTCAAGTCTTATCGCCCCCCCACCTCCCTCACACACACACACACACACACACACACACTCCCGCCAGCACGCCTGGTCCCAAACACAAACAGTCGATTGAAACGATATCTCGTCTCTTTGCTCTCTATCGACACAGAGTAAATTAATTACATTGCTGTTAGACGTGTGGTAATCACCCTCTGGAGTGATGAGCTCTCTCTCTCTCACACACACACACACACACACTCACACACACACACACACACACACACAGAGTAAGTTAAAGCTCTCTGAAGCAACACTTATCTCGGCCGCGCATCCCGACGGTTCTAGTTGTTTTTTTAAGCACACGAACAATTCAAACAGCAAAATAAACAAGTGCACTATTGATTTCCCAGAGTGCAACCGGCCGCTTATCTCTTTCGCCTCCCGGTAAGCGCTGACAGCTTCCTCATTAAAATTGAATTGGATTAGCATTACATTGAAAGTTCGGCGGGAGACGCTAACACACATTGTTTCGCTCTCAGCCGGTAACCCCGAAGCCGCCTCTTCTTCCTCAGGATTGCACCGAAGAAGGAGGGATTGTGTCAGAAGGAGGGGGAGAGGGGGAAGCCACAAGGGAGCGTGGAGGAAGAGGAGGGGGAGGCAGAGGGAGGAAGAGTTGAAGTGATAATGAGACATTGATCAGAGCTTCACAGATGATGAAATACATGAACTCCTTTGCTTTTTTTATCTTAATGCATTATTCGTCTCTGTCCTGCACAAAAACGCTGATCATTTTACCAGAACTTACTGTAAAAACTTCGTCGCGTGTAGAACAGCTCCATCTGAAGCTGAAGAAACAATGACACGAGGATTATCAATCAAATCACATCAAATATACTTTATCAGGGGCGCAGATAGGATTTTCAAACTGGGGGGGACAAAGTTCCAATGTACCCTCCCCCAAACACATGCACGCACACGCACACACACACACACACACATACACAAACTATTGCAAGCGCCTTAACTAGAGCTCAGTCAGTTTGTGTAATTTCATCCAACGGTTTACGTAAAAACTAACTTTTATATACGTGTTTGAAGCCATTATGCAGTGGAACGCTGGCAACAAAGCTCTACCTGATCAACACTATAAATGATAAATGATCTGCACTTGTATATAGCACCTCTCAGAGTAAGGAGCCTTACACTACAGAGTATCATTCATCCATTCACACACACACTCACACACTGATGGTGATGAGCTACGATGTAGCCACAGCTGCCCTGGGGTGCACTGACAGAGGCGTCCCACTATTTAATTCAGTCATTTTTTATTCTCCCAATCGATTACTGACCAAACCCTCATGCTTTATGCAAAACATTAAATGACTTTCAGCGTACCGATCTTTACAGAAAACAGAAAAGCTCTAAAAAACTGCACATAAAATATAATAAGAAACAATATTCACTTATCACTTAGAGCAGTAGTTCACAAACTTTTCAGCCTGACCAACAGATGTTCCTTCATATTTTTATGTTATTTAGAAATTTTCGTTATATTTGGAAAGTTTTAATTTATATATAAATATATAAATCTCTTTTTAAATTTAATATTTTACTTTTTTTATGATTATGTGGCACACTTGACTTCCATATATAACGCATCCGCATCTGCCTCTTTTCTACAGCTTTTTTTTTTTACATTGTCGCTACGTCGGTCACGTTAGCGGTGTTTTACCATCGTTTCTACATCCATCACGTCCCAGAGAAGGTTAAACCAACATCAAACCCAACGTTTGGAGCTTGTAAACTCCACACACCTCTCGTGCAGCACCAGCTGTCTGATGCTGCAGCAGCGTCAATCTTCCCGGCTGGATGAGTGAATTTCTTCATCAGGGTCAATATTCTGCTTCATAATCAGGATCAGTCATTAGCAGACAAAGTGATCAGTCAACAAAGACCAGACCTGCCGGCAATTATACGTTTTATCTCCTCCTCTCCCCGACTGGGAGCCTCTCGGCGGGAGGCGTTTTTCAAACTCTAAAAACTCCCAAACTTTCCTCAGCCTGAAGGTTCCACATCTCCACTATCTTCTGGTGTAAAGCAGTAACTTCATGAGGGATCATATTTGTAGATGAGACTTGTTAAAGTCAGCAATGAGGCTTTGGTGCTTTTAACGAGTAAGTCCCAACACTGACAACAACGTACTGAAACTAGAACCAACATGCATAAACAGACAGATCGGCCCCGCCTACTTACACTGTTGGTCTTTTTTAAATACGCAGTAATCGTTGTTCGTCTTTTCGCTTCATCCTGCGTCCTAGCAGCAACTCCTTTTGCACCTCTGGAGTCGGTGTTTGTTTACATCATTCTGCATTCAATGTAATTGGAAAAAGGAGCTTCAAGCGCTTAACCTCCGATTTTGTTTTCTTTCTGGCCTTAGTTGGGGGGGGTGACGAATCGGATCGATCTGAATCTGGGGGGACAGATCCCCCCTGTCCCCCACCCTATCTGCGCACCTGTACTTTATTAATCCCAGAGGGAAATTAGTTTCAGTACACACAATTCAGAGATCAGACATACATGGGCAAGACACATGACAAGAATTGGTGACTGTGGTCATTCGCAACCCGAGTCGCGCTACTTTAATAGAGATAAGAGGGTTACATGAGGATTGGTTCAGGTGGAGGGAAAAAAAGGCACTTCAGAGTTACCCTCCCACCAGGAGGGCAGCTTTGCTCTGCAAAAAAACACCTCAGACAGATATGCAACAGACTTCAGACATCACACAACATAAGTGTCCACTAGGTGGGGTGGTGGGTTGGGACTATCCTCACTTCAGTTCCTGCAGCCACGATAAGCAGCGCATGTCACCTCAGTGTGGATAGGGGGAGGAGCATTGAGGGTTGGAGGGTTGCAGTAACCCTGGACGCTTCAGCGGCCTTCCCGCAGTCCCGCCCAGGCTGGGAAAGGAGACAGAGTTGAGTTGCCATAGCGACGGCACATTCCACATATCTTCTGAGGAGGGAGTTTTCATTGGAGCCTTGTAGGCTCAAGGGCGCCAGATTCCGATTAGAAATTGTTTTGGGGTCAGACATGGATAATTTCCTCTCTGTCTTACAGTTTGTTGGTCCTCAGACTCTCAAAATCCCAATAATGGACATTAATCTATCCCAATCCGTGCTGATTCATCCACTCTATCCTTGATGGCATCCATATTTTGTGCCAAAGAATGAATCTCCGCCAAAATCCCAAGCTTACGATTCATCTCAACAATTATGTGAGTCTGTGAATTCATAGCGCGGTGCAAACCATCTCTGAGCTCCGGGATCAAGCCAATATTCCTTGACAGCTCGTTAATTTTCCGGTAAGCCAGGTAGCCTCCAAGGCCAATGAGCAGGAAACCTGACACCAACGCCACGAATATCCACACGTCTTCAGAGTCCTAGACGTTCATGTTTTACCTTTGCTACCAAACCGAGCAGGGAGTTGTTTTATTCTGGGGAGATTGATGAGCTAACGGCTAGTCTGAGACATAATCTGTTACACCTGTCCTAAAACAGCTTCATGCTTAGTAGTTAGTTTTATACTAAGTGCTTCTTTCATTAAAAACATGGTTTCTGCTGAGAAAACTCCCAGGCTACAGCTAGCTGCTACCACCGTTAGCGCTCACTAACCAGAGGATTTGACTAAAATGACTGGAATGCAAAACTATGACATCAACGGGAAAGCATTTGAATTGATATTCATGTGTTTGAGATTCAAGTTGTCTCTTTTTTTTCTTCTTCTTCAAGCTGTTGAAGACAGGAAGCTGTTCATCGGCATGGTGTCGAAGAAGTGCAACGAGAATGACATCCGGGTCATGTTCTCTGCGTTCGGACAGATCGAGGAGTGCCGGATCCTTCGAGGGCCCGACGGGCTCAGCAGAGGTACCATTCGCTCTTTGACTCACCTCCATCCAGACTTACACCCCCTAGTGTCAGAACTACTGCCGGGGCGGCCTCCGGCCGCTGCTGTTCATTGTTGCTGCGAAGCGATCCGAGTGGCTAAAAACATTCCTCTGGGAATCATGCGGCCAGAGCGGGCTGGCGGGAAACTGTTTTAGTTTTTCTTTACCCGACAACTTTATTGTAATGTTTTTAGATCATCGACTGCACATTTAGGCTCCTGCACAAACAGACATTATATTGCCCCCAGTGGCCTGGCATGGGAAGTTCAGCTAATACAGTTTTTATCATCAAAATGTATAAAGGTGGGTGCCTCAGTTTTCTTCATGTTGTCTGAGCTTTTAGCCCCGCCCACTCCCCTATAGACACATAATCATGATGTTTTCTTTAAAGCATCAAATAGTTAATTACAACTCAGCATGTTAAATAAAAGATTTGAGCACATTTTAGAGCAGAGAAAGTCCTCCTCCTCATTAGGGAAATGTGCGTTTTATATTTTTTGTCAAAAATGTTTTTAAAGGGACAATTTACAACTTTTTCATGTTTTTAAATCATTTTCTTGAGCCAGTTTGAGCTAAAATGACCCAGTACAGGGTTAATGAAACGCCACCCTGCCTCTATCGCCCCCTTTGGCCAGATCATGAACACAGCTGATTTGTTTAATATTGTGGTGAATCTCTCCTCTAGACACTTGGGGAGGCTGGGAGACGTCAGCTCGTAGATTAAGGCGTTAAAAAAGACGAACGCGCAGCGAGGAGGTAGTTTCACTTCTACAAACAGACACTAGGGGGTGCTAAAAGCAAGAAAACTGCTTAGTATCACTTTAAAGAAAAATAAATGCTATCTTTGAATTTGACCATTTTTGTTACTAGAATATGTTGGATTTGACGTTATGATCTGGAGAATGTAATGGAATACGCGTGGATAAAAATAAAGGAAATTGTTATTATTTAGTTATAAAAGTGTCACGTTTGTTTACATGGAGGTGCGGGGCAGGGCTTAAATCTTATCCTGCAGCCAGCTAGCCTAGTGAACTAGACCAAATTCTTGCTTTGCAAAGTTTGGTATTAAATAAATAATATATTTATTTAGTCTAGCTTGCCAGGCTAGCAGCCAGCCACTAGGGTGTACCCTTAAAAACCATGTTACTTTTTTGTAGTACAGTAGTGTATGTGTTTTATTTTTCAACATTTTTATGGTGTCATATTTATTTATTTATGGTCTGAGATCCTGCTTCCTTCTTAAACTCTGACTTGACCTTGTAAAGATTCAGATGACCTTCCCAGTGAACTGCAGCGGCCCGGTGAGGCTGCTCCTCACAGTGAATACATTCTTCTTCTTCCTCTTCGCTCTATACATCATATAGATACTCTATACATTTTCCCCACCTCTCTTTTTTCCTCTCCTCCTTGCTCTCTCAGCTTCGACCCCACCCCCTCCTCCCCACCCCCAAACTAGCGCTCATATCCACCTTCAGCGCTAGCTGCATCGTAAGCTTTTTACCTCGGCATATGCTCATCTCAGCTACTTTCATTCACAACTTTGAATTGTCCACTGAAGAGAAAATGAAAAGGAAATATTATTGTATTTTAAAAAAAGAGATTTTATTTGATATAAAAATTCTTATAAAACAAATTCCAGCCTTTTAATTGGCTCATGTGGTGCTGCTAGAATAACCCCGTCTCATTAGCAGCTGTCGCTTTCATTTCACTCATCTGACTTTTACCAGTTTGGTTTTTTACCGAAGAGAATTTCACTAGAAGGTTACTCACCTTTTTACTCAAAATTCAATGTTTCATGGGACATTTAGAAGCTTGTTTCTGTTAAATTTTGGGGTTCACAAAGTGGAGGGTCAGGGGCCTGCTGCAGGTCACACTCATTAACACTTAGGGTCATCTAGAAATAAAGTTGAAACTAAACTGTTCCTGGAAGAATACTTTTACTCTAATTCAGTTTTAAATGAGTGAGTTGAAGCTGTTTATGTTTTTGTTGTTTGTTTATCATTTTAAACATGACTGCATCCAGAAATAGACGTTATTTTATGGATCAGAGGCAGAAACACTGAGAAAACAATGCCCAGATGTTGTCCTGAAGAGCCTCTGTTCAGAGAAATAGTTTATATCCTTTAGGACTGATGCGCTAACCGTTAGTCCAACGCAGGCCAGGCCACAGTCGTTAACCCTTTAACGCCTTGGATTAACACTACTTCATAATAATATTAACAGCAAACCTTGTTATAAAATAACTTTTAATTGTCTGATGTTGATATAAAAATTACATGATGTGATTTATTTTATTATGTAATTCTACGACAAAATAACAATAATAAATAAAACTGGCCCTCACCACCTGTAGATCCTCCACCAGGGGGCAGCAGACATGTAAAGGACTGGATAAGACAGGTTTCTCATGAAGGTGCTAATCCTGGTGCTCCATCTGGATTTGTTTGAGTTGTTGGCGACAATCTACTTGGGGTTAAACTGGGGCTAAACTGGGACTAAACTGGGACTAAACTGGGGCTAAACTGGCACTAAACTGGTGTTAAACTGGAGCTAAACTGGGACTAAACTGGGACTAAACTGGAGCTAAACTGGGGTAAACTGGGGTTAAACTGGGACTACACTGGGGCTTAATTGGGGCTAAACTGGGGCTAAACTGGGACTACACTGGGGCTAAATTGGGGCTAAACTTGGGCTAAACTGGGACTACACTGGGGCTAAACTGGGACTACACTGGGGCTAAACTGGGACTACACTGGGACTACACTGGGGCTAAACTGGGACTAAACTGGAGCTAAACTGGGGTAAACTGGGGTTAAACTGGGACTACACTGGGGCTAAATTGGGGCTAAACTGGGACTACACTGGGGCTAAACTGGGACTACACTGGGGCTAAACTGGGGCTAAACTGGGACTACACTGGTACTAAACTGGGACTAAACTGGAGCTAAACTGGGGTAAACTGGGGTTAAACTGGGACTACACTGGGGCTAAATTGGGGCTAAACTGGGGCTAAACTGGGACTACACTGGGGCTAAACTGGGACTACAATCAGGCTAAACTGGGACTACACTGGGACTACACTGGGGCTAAACTGGGACTACACTGGGGCTAAACTGGGACTACACTGGGGCTAAACTGGGACTACAATCAGGCTAAACTGGGACTACACTGGGACTACACTGGGGCTAAACTGGGACTACACTGGGGCTAAACTGGGGCTAAACTGGGACTACACTGGGGCTAAACTGGGACTACACTGGGGCTAAACTGAGACTAAACTGGGGCTAAATTGGGACTAAACTGGGACTGGGACTAAATCTCCTAAATCCCACAGCTTTTGGTGTGAACTTGTTTAATGAATCTCGACTCGACATCAGATGTAAATTGGATGGAATTCTGTTGTCCTTCAGAAACACTCGACGTGTTGCTGAAGGACATCTAAGCAAAGTGTATTCATCCCTAAGAGCCATTCCTTCCTACAGTCCCTCTGACACCCCCCACCCCCCGATTTCAGCCATCCTCCCTAACCACCCCGCCCCACCTTCCTCCACCCTCCGTGGGTTCTTTGGGCTGAGGAGATGAGGAGCCTCCCTGATCTCTCCTGTCGCTGTCATTGTCATACAGGCTCTCTGTTGGTCACCTATTTTCTGATTTTTCTGTTTTCGTCGAACGTTCTGGATGTTTGATTGTCGCCTCGAGGCGTGATCTCTCAGTGTGTCTCCACCCAGCCCGTGTCTTTGGCTCAAACTAAACGTTCCTCTGCTTCTTTAAACAGCACCCACCGCTCTTGACTCCGAATTCACCCTGGCTGTCCCAGAATCCTTGCTTGCATCAATTTGTTTGACTTCCCGTGTTGTCTTCCTCCCTCATTTCTGTCCTCCACCCTTTTTCAGCTCCTCTCTTTTGTCCTCATAAATATTTCAGACCCGATGGTCGCACTCTTGCTCCTGTAGAGCTAACATAAACAAGTTGACACAAGCCCAACATGAAATGCTTTTGTTGTCCAACTTGGCTTCCACCTCCGATCAGGATGCATATCGTTTTTTTAAGAATTTCTACGTTGCTACAACTCCCAGAGGCCTTGAGTCCCACCTAGCTTTGCTGCAGAACTCTTTTGAAACCACAGTATCAATCAGACAAGTGCTCCGCTATCCTGCTATTAATAAAATATGGATCACACCACCAGTGGATGGCTGGGCCTGGGGAGCTACCCTACTTTCATTAAAGGACTGCGTGGTTCTCCACTGATGACAGAATGCGGCCCGCGTGGTATTTTTAGCGATCAAACTATGTCCCGTCTCTGCACCGTGGAGAAAACAAGACGTGCACCAACAAATCCAAAAGTTGGCTTGTGCCTTTTTTATCATCGTCTTTTTTTTAGAAGCTTTGAGATGAATCTGCTGAAGAAGTGGGTTGAAACCTCCGTCAGCCTGTGACGATGACTGCCAGGACCTCTCAGGACCAGACTAAGGGCTAACCCAGATCGGTTCTGGGGCCGAGCATCCCAGCAGAGGAAGGGAAAACCTCCTGGAAACCAGTTAAAGGACAGATTGTCTCTTGTCTAAAATAGGCAGTCCCCTGCATCAGTTGAAAGGATGACCCCTTTACAGACGTCCCATCCGCAGAACAACCCGTTAGCACGCTAGCTTCACATGCAAAAGGACAGCCGAGTGTTTACTAGGTCAGGGCTGTAGAGCCCGATAACCTTCAGTCCACTTGTACCGCTCTAATGTTAAAGCAGCTGAGCATCAATGGATATAAAACTCTGACATTCCAGTTGTCAAGGACACGGAAATGGAAAAAACGATTCTTGGATATGAGATCAAAGGCAGGTCTGTGTGACTAAGAGGAATAATCAGTTAGAAAATTGAGTGCTGCACATGTTGTTTTTGCAGCCAGAATGATAAAGACATGTAAAATACTTGCTCTTAACAGACAAAAGGGCCACAGTCTGGCCTTTTTTTACTCCTGAGCCTGTCA